TGATGCTGAGGGACCAGTCTTCAAGAACTACCACCTTTAAAGATAGAAAGGGAATCTGTTGAGCGTGTTGACCACTTCACTTACTTCCAAAGTTGAATCAGCTCGTATAGACTGGTTGCTGACAAAATCTCAGCACGAATACAAATGGCTTATATGATATCTACCAAACTACGTCGTCGCTGGCGTAGATGCGATATTCGGTTATTGATGAAAGGACGTGTGTACTGCGAATCAGTTCACTCTGTCCTTTTTAATGGCTGAGAGACATGGCTATTGAAAGTGGAAGACCTGATGAGGCCAGTTGTCTTCGATCATGGATGTTTACATACTATGTCAAGTGCTAAATGATAATAATGATGTGATATAATATAGTGAGTAATACTGAGCTTTGTTGCTCAGTGACAGGTAAAGACATTAAGTCGATTAATAAGGTTGTGAAGCTATATTGATTTAGATACCTATGTCAGGTGTTACACATACCAATCAACTGCTTACTTGTCCACCGACGTTAGCTGACTTAGGATTGGGCTGGAAAGGGTTAGGGTTAGGTGGTCAGACCAGAAGCCTTAATCACTTAGTATTAGTCATACACGTAGGTAGGTGTAGACTGACTGCCTAGAGTCTTCGGGATTCCAAGAACCAATAGTTGGAGATAATCTATAACATGGCTTATAATTGCTCTCAATGACACAGATGCATTCAAACTTTTCGATCTGCTGTATCCATTGAACCCCATGTTATTATAGTTTCTCGCTCACATTCCTGTTTATCACCGTTGTTTTGAGTCGCTTTTTCGTCTTCTTTTATGTGACTAGATGGAGTTTGGCAACTCGAACTGCTGCATTTATGTGCAAAGTCCTATATTGACGGCAGTCAGCAGACGCATTGTTTCTTGTATGATAAATCCCAAACAATAAGGGTCATATCTGGATATATTTAGTTGTGAAAATAAATTGATGGTTCAGTAAGTGTGCTATACAATTACCCCCAGTGATCTGAAGTCTCAAGCTACATATCAGCGAGAGTACACAGACTGAAAATTTAGCTGAAAATCCTCTTCTAACACGTTTGTATAAGAAGAAATGATGATATTAGCTAGTGAAAGCAGTGTGAATCATATTCTACTGTTACACACATATCTTAGGTGTAACACATTTCATGGTTGGCTGAGAACAATGTCTACTTAGAAATTGTTCTCAAGAGATATAATTGATTCTTAACGGTTTTTATCGAACCAAGATGCAAATTGACTTAGCCCACAAGGCATATTTTACATATGCTTGTATTTACACCGAACAATGGCATCCCCAATTTACACGAATAGTCATATATCTATATGTAATCTTATGAATGCATCAGAATCTACTTTAAAACGCCAACATGTAAAGGGATAACAAACTGATAAGTAAAATAAGCCACATTTAGTATATACATGTGTGTGGGCTAATGATCCTGCCCATTTGCTCAGGCTTAAACAAAGGTGGAGAGAAAATTCCGAACATGATACCCATTGGCTGTGTACTTAAGATGTTAGGCTAAATCCCCACCCTGTAATAAGCTAAAGGCCCGACCTAACAGTTGCTTATGTTATGTCACATTGTCAGTCTTTAATTAGAGTGAATGGTAACTGACGAGACTGAAGGCAGTTACAGTCACCAAGTAACCTGCCTATTTTATCGTGGGGTAGAATGGGGGATCAAGGGCGGAGCTGTAATGCTAGTGTATAGGTATGCAGTAGCAGAGAATTATTTCCATCGTGCAACCAGAAAGCCTTCTATGAGTAATTATAAAAGCCGGACCCCAAAGTTGGTACATTGTGACTTACATTACAGAGGTCCATAGGGGGGATTAAGATTTCTCTGTAGACAAAACTGCATTGACTTCCAGTCCTTGAGAGATCAGTCCCGACAGGTGTTGAATGTTCCTTAATAGTGGGTACACAAAAGAAATTGCAAATGGAATACGAATCGGGACGATTCCTTCTATCAATTGTCAGGTTTTCAACAAGTTGAGCACTGCAAATAGCAAAGTGTTAAAATTTAAATGCATAAATTGAATGGATTTTTTCCAGAAGATTCCTTTCGGTGATCGACGCGTACTACGACTATCTACTGTAGGTATTAGTAGAACATAACATGTACAGACATCGCTGTTGTAGCTGCAGTCCTTTTTTTATGTAACTTTGTAACGACAGAAGACAAGAGACTTGGTAACGGAATGTTTATTTGGAATTTGATATCTCTATATATGAAAATTATGTACAACTTATACTAAAACCGTCGTTTTCACATACCTCCCATGTTCTTCTACTTCTATCGTTCGTATTGTGTTTCTTTGTCTTCTTTTGAAGTTTCCCATTTTTTGCTGCCACACTGATTCATTCGCTCTTCTTGACGTCAAGCCTACCACTCCGCTATTTGACATTTCTATGCTGATGAACGTCTCTCATATACTACTGATGAATCTTGTCAGTAGCACACGCCTCAGCTCCATCTTGAACGCAAATATATGAAGTAGGTACATCTACGACTGCTACTTCATTTGCAGGATCTTCTCTGTTAGTTGAACACTTCCGAAAGATAATCTGAACAATTTGAAGTATTTTTGGTGGATGGTGACTGGCAATGGAATCCAGGCAATGCATTTCTTCCCATTCGGGACTCTTCACTCGGATAGACCTGGATTCCCTGTGAATGATGCAGTCCCCACTGAGATTAAATGGTCTAGTGGACAACGCCTTAACGTTTGAAAAGACGGTTAATGTGTCCGAGTTCCGGATATATCAAGCTGACGTGTCTCAAATGGGATGGAATGTGCATCCTGGATTTCACTGCTAGTCACTATCTACCAGAATTACTTCAAGTTAATCCTCAAATACCATCGAGGTGTGCATACTAGAAGCCAATATCTCAACAGTATGAACTTTTCAGTCTAATCAATCAACGGGAAAATCAAAACTTAATTAAAAATTTTAACAACTGCCTAGCTCTATGGAAATGTTTCTGCAACCATATTTTGAGATTGTCTACTTTAAAGTCTGTTATACACTGATAACATTAACTTCAACATGAGTGAAGAACATGTTTTGCAAATAAGTCACTTTAGGTTGTAACTGTGATAAAAAGTAGATTGTTAAAATGGCAGCCAAGCACCTGATGAATAAGTTCCTATGTAGGGCATGAATGTCTGACTGAATTTCAAAGTAGAACATTGCACAAAAGTGCAGCAGTTCAATTCATCACACTCGATATAGGACACAAATGTACAGAAAAGAAACCTTAGAAGAAATATGATGAAGAGAAATATACATGATAAGGAATGGTAACATTGGAAAACACGAGGACTTAATAGATCCGCGAGGTTACAAAGAGTGAAAGCGCTTGTGTCACTAGGATCAGTCTTCAGCCATATCGCCAACAGTCTCAAGCCACTGGTTCTTAGAATCCCAAACACCCCAACCACGTGGTCTGCACTCCTCTACTTGGCTGGCTCAATGCCAAATGAACAGTCAATTACTCCATGGATTGACGCCGAGTTCTGGTCTAACCACTACTAACCCTTTTCAGCCTAATCATGTCAGTTAACATTACTCGTCAAATAAGCCGGAGGATTGGCAGGCGTAATATATGTCATAGTCATCTTTATGAATGCAGCTTTGCAATCTCATTGACTGACTTCCTTTCGTTATCTTATACTCCACGCCTAACCTCAATACTGCTCGTCATACTATACCACTTAACTAGGAAATAGAATACAAACATCCATGATCGAAGACAACTAGCCTCACCAGGTCTTCCACTCTCAATAGCCATGTCCCTCAGTCATAAAAAAGGACAGAATGAACTGATTCGCAGTACACACGTCTAAGTCGATGTGACTGTTGCGTAGTAACAAGTCAATTCCTAAAAAATGACAGAATGAACTGATTCGCAGTACACACGTCTAAGTCGATGTGACTGTTGCGTAGTAACAAGTCAATTCCTAAGGTAGTTATCACACGACTGTGGAATTAAATGAAGTTCTAAAGTAATAAGATAAGGTTGTGGGTCTAATGCAGTTACAAGAATCGAATGCTTAGTCCAATTAGCCACAAGACACTATTACTATTAGAAATGTAGGCAAATATGTGAAAACTTCACAAATTACCGTGCTTTGGTGAAACACAACATAGCGGAGGGCATCCATTTGATGTTCTTGGAGCGGATGACCAGTTACCTATGGAATGAGCTACAGCTACGTCAGAAGAACTAATATCAGTACGACTACTACTTGGTTCACACGATCGTAAACAATAAGTCGATACACAACATTACCCGAGGTTGGAAACATTACGCTATGTCCTGCAATCACGTAATTCATGTAGAGACAATGAGAGCAATCGACACATCCTGCACCAACCCCACACAACACAATGCCACATTAAGCCCAGTGATGCTACATTAGCTGTGATAGTTTCACAAAACCGTTGGCGCTTCCCATTTCCCAAATAATTCCTGTCATCTAGTAGTTAGTATCCTTCAATACCATAACAAATGTGCCTAAGGTCGCCGGAACTTGGTCCAGATGAATTAAGATATGTGGCTTCTAACATATGGCGAATAATATTCTCGGCAAATTTCGCTATAACTGTTCTCCAAACACAGCCACAAAACGCACTTCACAACGACTCCCAAGGAACTCTTCAAACGATCGAGCCCGACCACAGCTGCTACCCAACGACAGAGCCCACTCTCCCACTACCACATCCTAACGGCCTACACTAAGATAACGCATACCAATCTACCACATAGTGCGAAAACACCAACTACATATCGTTAAACCACAACAACGACAACAGTAACAACAACCGTCTACTTCGCAAACACGTGAAAACGCAAGGAAAAGAAAACACATCTCATATCAATGTGGAAATAATGGAGTATATTTAAATATAGATAATCTGATGCATGAAAATCGTATGAAAATAAAACAAGAAAATAACACAGTCCAATGTTACCGAATTAGTCGACCTCCTCGATTGTTGGTCCCTTTCCACCACCACTGCCAGCACCACCTGCACCTGGGAAACCGCCTGGCATGCCTCCAGGCATACCACCGCCACCTGCTGCTTGGTACATCTTCGTGATTATCGGCGCACATATCTTCTCCAACTCCTTCTGGTGGTAGTCATACTCATCCTTCTCTGCTTGCTGATTCTGGTCTAGCCATTGAATCGTCTCTTCACACTTGCTCAATATCGTCTTACGATCACTATCAGATATCTTGTCCTTCAACTCATCACCCTCCACTCGTTGCTTCATCGCGTACACATAACTCTCAAGTGAGTTCTTCGCAGCCACACGGTCTCTCTGCTTCTCATCCTCAGCCTTGAACTTCTCAGCTTCATTCACCATACGCTCAATATCGTCTTTGGACAAACGACCCTTGTCATTCGTGATAGTTATCTTGTTCTGCTTACCAGTACTCTTGTCCACAGCCGACACATTCAGAATACCATTGGCGTCAATGTCGAATGTCACCTCAATCTGAGGAACACCACGAGGAGCAGGCGGAATACCAGACAACTCGAATTTACCAAGCAAATTGTTGTCTTTCGTCAAAGCACGTTCTCCCTCGTACACTTGAATAAGCACACCTGGCTGGTTGTCCGAGTACGTCGTGAACGTCTGAGTCTGCTTCGTTGGGATCGTCGTGTTACGCTTAATCAATGCTGTCATAACACCACCAGCTGTCTCAAGACCCAGTGACAATGGCGCCACATCCAGCAACAACAAGTCTTGCACTGCCTCAGACTTATCACCACTCAGAATAGCCGCCTGCACAGCTGCACCATAAGCAACAGCCTCATCAGGATTAATAGACTTGTTCAACTCCTTACCGTTGAAAAAGTCCTGAAGCATCTTCTGGATCTTAGGAATACGTGTTGAACCACCAACCAACACAATCTCATGCACCTGAGACTTGTCCATCTTAGCGTCTCTCAAAGCCTTCTCAACCGGCTCCAAAGTACCACGGAACAAGTCTGCATTCAACTCCTCAAATCGAGCACGAGTGATCACTGTGTAGAAGTCAATACCATCACACAACGAGTCAATCTCCAAGTTCGCCTGTGTACTTGAACTCAGTGTACGCTTAGCACGTTCACAAGCTGTTCTCAAACGACGAACTGCACGCTTATTGTCACTTATATCCTTCTTGTGCTTACGCTTGAACTCTTGCACAAAGTGATTCACCAAACGGTTGTCAAAGTCCTCACCTCCCAAGTGAGTGTCACCAGCAGTAGACTTCACCTCGAATATACCATCTTCAATTGTCAAGATAGACACATCGAAAGTACCACCACCCAAATCGAATATCAACACATTACGCTCACCACCAACCTTCTTGTCCAGACCATACGCGATAGCAGCAGCAGTAGGCTCGTTGATAATTCTCAACACATTCAGACCAGCGATCGTACCAGCATCCTTAGTAGCTTGACGTTGACTGTCGTTGAAGTAGGCAGGAACTGTCACCACTGCATCAGTCACCGTCTTACCCAAATACGCTTCAGCCACCTCCTTCATCTTCGTCAACACCATCGATGAGATCTCCTCAGGGAAGAATGTCTTCATCTCACCCTTGTACTCAACACGGATCTTAGGCTTACTAGCCTCGTTAATCACCTCGAAAGGCCAGTGTTTCATATCACTCTGAACTGATGGGTCATCAAATCGTCGACCGATCAATCGTTTCGCGTCGAACACTGTGTTGGTTGGGTTGATCGCCACCTGGTTCTTAGCAGCATCACCAATCAAGCGTTCGGTGTCTGTGAACGCAACATAACTCGGCGTCGTTCGGTTCCCTTGGTCGTTGGCAATGATCTCCACCTTCCCATGCTGGAAAACACCAACACATGAATATGTAGTACCAAGATCAATTCCAATTGCGTTTGGCATTCTTGTGTAGGTCACAGTAGAATTGAGGCTTTAAACACAGGCGAGTAGGTAGGCACGTAGGTATCTGGCGAAATCTGCGAATGTAGCACTCAATTAAGGATGTTAGGCAAGACTGTCAGTTATAATAAATACTGTTTAGCGTAGAAAATACTGGAAATTTCTATAACCTTGACCAGAACATTCTTAGCCAATGAGAGATGAAAGAATGGCATTATACTGACCAATAGCGTGAGAGTATTGATCGTTTTTATATTTTGCATAGCGACGTGGAATTTTCGATTGAATTTAGTTAGACTCGAAGGCGTTAGGCACTTATCTTTAATTTGGTTTTGGTGTTTTTTTTGGAACTTAAGGTACCATATAAAGTCTAATTGTAGTTCAATAGTTTACACAGAATGATAAGTTTTTTTATATGGGTAATATTTCGATCAAAATTACGAATATGAAAATCTTATTATTGTGTGTAAACTATTGAGATATAATTATACTTTATATGATCTAATCGACTATTCTCAAAGTTTTTACTGTTAGTAAGGTGTCATATCTGAAGGAACAGTCTTTGAAATTTTGACTCTTAACATCCAATGCGTCACTGGAAATCTTAATAAATTTGATTCCAATAAAAATGATGCGTGTCTATGTGGTTATGGAGGGTTTGATTAGAGTATTTCGCTTGTTCTTTATGTAATATTTTTGGAAATATTCACTGTTGGGTGTGCTTATTGCTATTTAGACTCCCATAAGGTTTAGTATTAGGCTTGAATGATAATCTTCTTTATTTCAAAACTAGTACTCCTAATCCAGTATGGAATTCTCAGCATTAAAATCTAGGAGTGTTGGAGAGATATCATGTGCTAGTATGGAGCTCTCCATCAGCAGGGACCCAACGGGGTTCAAACCCAGGACCTTTCTGTTACAAGGCAAGCTCTTAAACCATTCAGCCAGTGGGAATAGGAGTTCAGAGTAGGTCAAAGGACATTATCCTTAATATCAGTAGATCTTAAAGTACCATGACCTACAGTCCCCCTATAGAATGCATCTATCCCGTATGATATAATTTCGCCATATATCATCTGTGTAGTGACTGGGAGAAATTCTTACAACACATAAGGGACAACTATATAGTAAAGTATGATGTTTGCAATTTTCTTTAGTGCAGTTTTCAACGGTTATGTGACTTTACCGTATCTGAATTCTGATTTGTTTTTCAAGGTTGCTTTAGTTTTAGCTATTATAGTTTAACTTTGCGGTGCTTGGAAACAGCATTTAGTGAGATTCCTACTGCTTCCGTCTGAGAGTTTGCAAAATATATTATGTAGGTTTAGATATTTGGACTGAAAATGCTCCTTGTGATGAGGAATTGAGAATGTAGTCTGTTTTCCGCGTTGATTGAAATAATCCCAGGAGCCCAGGTGACATAAGAATTAGCTTTTTGGGTATAGTCTCTTGATACTGCATGCACTGAATACCTGCGAGTGTAGCCTGGCTTTGAATCCCCCTATTGAGACTCTGGTAGTGTTACATAGAGTATGATATGTGGCAAATGTCAAGTTAAGGAACCATTGGGGAAAGAGATTTAGCTTGAATATGAAATTTGCAAAGTTGTTGTGGCATGCTTTCTCATGTTTCCCTTAGTCTTCGTACAGTAATTTACTCTGGAATGCTAGACATTACGTCAGTAGCGCAATACTGCGTAGTCCGAAAGCTAACAAGTGTTCACCAGTTGCTATCTGGCGAGCATGCTGAACACGCTTTGTCACTAGAAGCAAAGGTTGTATAGTGAGTCCAAGTAAAATATTCGACGTAATGCCGAGAAAACTACCAAAGCTGCATTCAGAGCTACCTTATCCAGGTAGATTAATGGTAAACGGGCACGCCTGCTTACCTAAAGGTAATCGATTCGGACTACTAAAAATTCCCGGAGTCGGATCATTAAAGAGACTATTATCAAGCAAATGCGATTGCATACCGATGCCTACAGCAATGCCAATATAGTGGGTTTCCTCTATGTTCAGAAGGACTGAAATCATTACTCAACTGATAATTTTAAGCACGTTCCCCATCTTCAGTTTCTATATATGACCAAAAACTGAAGGAGATATGGCTCATTGGCTTGAGCATTAGACTTTCCACCGGTGGGTGCAGGGTTCCCTCAATGAATACGTGTAGTACATGCACAATTTGTTGTCCATAAGCAAGATAATCAATTCAAGAACATTAAAATATGTTCTGGATGTGATAACGTTGATTAAGTTGTGTCTGTATGTCACTTTACTCCATAATCGATTTACAATCACCCACAGGTAGTGCAAATACTAGTGTTATGATGATATTGATGTATAGGATTATGACTTATAAACCTATTAGATATATGAACCCGCTGGTGACGACTTCTCAGGTAATTTCTCGTATAGAGCTATTCACCAGGGAGAATCAGATTACGTTTCCACTATTGGTGTTTGTGCTTACAGAAACTGATCATTAAAACATATCTACAATATTGTAGGAACTAAGGCTTCTTTTTGATATGGTTGTGTTCTCTGAGCTGGACCGTTAATTTGCTAAGCTTTCATCGTCCTACTAGGCGACATCTTCAGCGCATACTTCAATTTGAAATGAGCTTTTAGATTTCCCCCCGAGTTTATTAATCGTCTCCCTTGGTGACCTTGGGCGTGTTTGCTTGTTTTTGTGTGTTTTCACACCTTCTAGGTTACTTGTATTGGAACTGATTGTTTCTTTGACCTGAACTTTGACCCTTTGTGTGTGAGGTTTCTCTCTCATCGGTTGATAAATTTTGTGTGTCTTGATGTGTCTATTGATTGATGATTCATTGGAATACCAGGCTTCTAAAAATTCTCTAGCATTCTTGTTGTTTCCTCTGTCTAATATTTGAACGTTGTCCCAGTCGAATTGATGTCCGTGGTTGTCTGTGTGTAATGATATGAGGGGCTGGATATCATGTCTTTTGACGGTTAGCTTATGATCTTGGATACGAAGATGAAGGGGACGTCCACTCTGGCCAATGTAGTGTTTTCGCAGTTGTTACAATTTATTTTGTAGATGATGTTGGCTTTATCTTCTTTCGTTGTTGAGTCTTTTGGTTGACATAGAACTGACTGAAGTGATTTTGTCTGTTTGTGTACGACGTCAATCTCTAAAGGTTTGAAGAGTCTTGCATTGATTTCTGAGATATCCTTTATATGTGGCAGGATAATTTTCTTTGTGCTTTCCTTGGGGGCCTTTGGTTGGGGGTGTATATCAACAACTCCCAACAAATCCCATACAAACATTGGACAACCTTATCCAAAGACCTCAAACAATCTGAGTAAAACTTGACAGATCACAAAACAAGAGCAATGGCGAATGAAATCCAATAGACCAGTCCTACCCCAATTCTACGGCACAAAGAAAATCGCCCTACCATATATAAGGGTTATCTCAGAAATCAATGCAATACTCTTCAGATCTTTAGAAATTGACGTCGTACACAAACAGACAAAATCACTTCAGTCAGTTCTATGTCAACCAAAAGACTCAACAACGAAAGAAGATAAAACCAACATCATCTACAAAATAAATTGTAACAACTGCGAAAACACTACATTGGCCAGAGTGGACGTCCCCTTCATCTTCGTATCCCCGACTGGTTAACACTATTGTGGATAGACATATAATGTCATGTAAGAAACTAGCGAATACAATATTGTCAGACCCCGAGCATCCTCTCTATACGCAGCTCTCTCCTTGCATTTCATCTGGTAGAACTAGAAGCAGCTATAGGTGGCTATATGCTAGGACTACCAAATACAAAAACTCCACAATACCATATCTGACACAGCTGTTAAGTGATGAGAAATCCGTTAGGTATGACACGATAAACTTACTGCGGCACTCTAACAAACAGTCCAACTAGTTTTTGTTTTCCTTTCTTCGTTACTATTATATTGTTGTTCACATTTCCTATTACACACTAATTTTATATTTGATATCCTGTGGTGCATTGTTTAAAATGTGAACTCAACGCTGTTTTTTTATGATTTTCTTTATTTATCTTTTATTTGAGTAATGCTTTTTGATTTTAAAATCTTATAAAATTTATGAGGTAATTAGATGCAATATTGTAATGCACGCTGAAAATCCCCTACCCGTACCACAAATACTGTTTGGAATAAAGCTATTATTATTATTTTTGATATAACATAAGTTAGTCGTCTAAAGACATGATATCCAGCCCCTCATATCATTACACACAGACAACCACGGACATCAATTCGACTGGGACAACGTTCAAATATTAGACAGAGGAAACAACAAGAATGCTAGAGAATTTTTAGAAGCCTGGTATTCCAATGAATCATCAATCAATAGACACATCAAGACACACAAAATTTATCAACCGATGAGAGAGAAACCTCACACACAAAGGGTCAAAGTTCAGGTCAAAGAAACAATCAGTTCCAATACAAGTAACCTAGAAGGTGTGAAAACACACAAAAACAAGCAAACACGCCCAAGGTCACCAAGGGAGACGATTAATAAACTCGGGGGGAAATCTAAAAGCTCGCTTCAAACTGAAGTAATCGAAATAATCGAAACAAGTTGCTGAGTTTCAGGCAATCTTTGAACATAAGCTAAAATCAGTCACACAGCACTAAGAGTAGCTATGTTTAAGACTCATCAATCGTAATAATTATTATTTAGTTATTATTTTTTCCTTCACGTTCCCAGTGGAACATAGGGCTTCAAGCTAGTGGCTTGAACTTTCTCTAGCAGTGTTTATTTTACAGGATGGGGTTTCTAGCCTCACGCCCAACCTTTCCTGTTTACCAGCATTATTTCTGGCTTAGCAAGGTAAAGGAGTGCGTCTGTGGGCGGAGATCGAACCCCGAACCATGTGCACGGTTGGCGAGCGTCCTAACCGCTATGCCACCGACGCTACAATTCTTATTTGATTCCACATAATTACGAAGGTGAACAAAAGGGGACAATTATTTTCAACTGGATATGGTTTACGAGAGGCTTAGAAACAAAATTACACAGGATTAGAACTGATAACAAATGTGTAAAAATAAATTCAATTTTGTTTTCATGCTCACTTTGTTCACATTTGTAATTCGTTCTAATCCTGTGTAATTTTGTTTCTAAGCCTCTCGTAAGCCATATCAAGTTGAAAATAAT